GGGGGGGAGGGGAGGTCACTCTTTGAAGGTAAAAAAAAAGTTGGGCGCAGCCCCATAAATGTCAAATACCAAGCAAAGGATACACTGTTTTGAGTAGCACTATTGAGGACTGCACTATACTCAGTAGTATTCACTGATTCAGGTTCATGAATGTGGACAGTAGAGAGTGGGTGTCTGAGGGTGTCCTCCATTTCCTACCTAATTAAAATATACTTAATTTAGTCTCCTACAGAACAATGTCCTTTTCAATGTAGCCTTCATTTAGATAAATATGATACAGTAATGTATGCTTCTGTGGATAATGCAAATATCAGCTGGAAATGCATCACTGGAAGGCTGTAAAATCAATTTGCAGGGGCTTGTGAATTATGTACTGTTGCTGTTAAATCTCCTTTTCTGACTGAGATTTGCACATGGGCTTAGAAAGACAGGTTTTCATTAAAAACTGAATTTATATTATTTACAAAGCATCGTGTTTGCAAGCATTAACAAATAATTTTAAAAGATTTAAAAGTATAAATTCAAATATAGGTTACTGTGGATTTATACAAGAGAGAGAGTATAAGGATTAAAATATGAAATACATAAATGTACAATTAAAAATGTTTCATAAAACATTTTTTAAAATGTGGTAAACATCTGCGTAAACTAAGAGTTGTCTGAATTGTTAATCTCATAAACATAATGAAATGTTGATGTCTTTATACCATTGACAGATATATACCTCTCAAGAGCAATTCAATCTTTCTGCAACCCCAACAGTTGGGAAAAATGAGTAAGATGCCAGTAACTAAGTAATACTGTCTCATCAGTCTGGCCCTTAAATCCCCTACTTTACAAGCTATTCCTCTGCTCATATTGGATACAAAGCTCTTTAAGCTTCTCCATGTTTCAGCTCACATTACAAAGAAAAGATTGGAAATGCTGAGAGTCAAAGCCACTTTTCTCATTTAATATCCTCCAGGGTATAGGGGAGGAAATAAGCAGAAAAAAAACCTTTTACTCTTTTAAAATGAAACTTAAATTTCTAATAAACAACGTGTACCTTAGGTGATATTTTTTAAACTACTTGGAGAACTGGCATCACTGGGAGGACTGACCAATTCTAAGGGCTTTTGAAAATCCCATCTTTAGACTCAGCTAAAGCTCAGCACTTCCACCATCATACTGGGAATATGTGTTAAGTTCTGGGAAGAGTTACACCTGACTTAATTCTGGGGATGCAAGAGAAAATTAAGTCTCTGTGTCATTTTTTCTAATGGTGCCACTGGGCAAGTCGGAAATGCACTAGGTTAAAAGGGCACAATAAATGCCCAGCCCTCTTATAACAGTTAGTTCCTGGCGGTAGCATCAGGCTTGCATATACTGTAATCAGAATAATGCTAAGGACATGACAAAATTGTTCTCTGCACGATTATGCAAGAAGAGAGATTTTTTTTTTGGTTATATCCCCTGGCTGCTATGAGTCTATTGGCAGAATTTGAATGGTGTTTGATTCATGCATGGGTAGCTAAAAGAAGACTCAGGTTATGAGGCTGTAATATTGCCTAAGCACTGTGCTTTACATTGTAAGCGCTTTACATCGTTGAGTGAGTTTTAGGATGTAAGCCAAAGTAGGATACAAAAATTCCTCATTTTACTGATATCATTATAAAAAATAAGAAAGTCCTGACATTTTTGTGCCACTGGGGACAATGTTGCTTCCCTAATAGGAGAATAACCTTGGCAGAATGGGTGGTGGAGGGGGGGGGGATGAATTTTCAATGGGCAAACACAACAATTTGCAAATCTTTTTTACTGTTGAACTATTAAAACTTGGCCTTAAAATAGAAGTCTTGATCACAACTTTGTTTTGGAAAACTTAAGAAAAAATTCAGATTGAGATTTAATTTCATGTCAGAACTTTGCTATATGGGAACATTTAATAGATTTCATAGACATTAGGGCTGGAAGGGACCTCGAAGATGATCAAGTCCAGCCACCTGCCCTGGGGCAGGAAGTCAGCTAGGGTCAAAGGATCCCAGCAAGATAAGCATCCAAGTGTTTCTTGAATGAGTTCAGAGTACGTGGCTGCACCACTTCTGGAGGGAGTCTATTCCAGGTCTTGGGGGCTCAGACAGTAAAGACATTTTTTCTTATTTCTTTCAGTCTAAAATACGTCCAGCCTAAAATGGAGAGCTTATGCCTTTAAAAATCCTAGCCCAAATGCCTGAGCCAAAAACAGAGAGAGGGGTTGAAAGGATTAGGAGAGAGCGATAACAACGAAGGAAGAGTGATGACAATTAGAAACAGATAGATGGATAGAATTACAAAGAAAAAAGAGCACATGGGAGAAAGGGTGACAGAAACAACTGGAAGGAAGATGGGAGATGAGAGGAAGAAGAAGAAATAAACATAAAAAATAAGGACATTGAGATGAAAGTAAAAAAAAACAAACAGAACAAAACCCTCTAAAAAAGAATATTTTGATGTTAATGTCAATTTATTTTTCTTACATATCTATTTTGTTTATAACAAAAATCCTTGAGAAGGGTAGGGTTAGATTGGCAGCAATTCTTCCCATCTAGAAAATCTATTTTTCATTTCATATATATATATATATATATATATATACACACACACATACACATACATACATACATACACATTACATTTTGTATAATTTCTCTTTTATTATTAAGTAAAATTGAAAATATTCTTTCCAACAGATAAGGTAAGCAGCATATAATTCCTTTTAAGGCTTTCACAATAATTTATACCAGGGGTTGTCAACCAGGGTATATATATGAAATATGACAAATGTAGCAGCGGGAGGGGAAAAAAAATGCCCCTAGCCCTGAAGACAGGTCTGGCAGGGAAAACCTTATTAAATGACCAGGGGTTTGTTAGGCCTCTCTATGGCCTACCAGGTGTCTGTGATTTGAGGCACCCAAATGGTTAATTTCTCCTGAACGTTGGCCTGCAGCCTGGCTGCATTCAGAGGTGCACAACACCAATACAAACTTCACACCAAAGTTCAATTAACAAGAATATATTATAAAAGGTCAATATCAAAATACAACAATAATAAATCCACAGTAACAACAGCAAACCCAGGAAGACCTGTTGCAGAGCTCATAACACCCTGAGTATTTTTAGACTTTCCTTCACACATACAGAGTACTCAGCACCTCAAAGAGGGCAGGTGATACATTACCCTCCTTTCAGCGTGAGGCAGGTGAGCTCTGGAAGGTCTCCAAGTCTAGGCACACAGGTACAAGGAATTCCCCAAGTCTGATCTACCAAGACTAGCAGATCCTTCTCTCTAGTGCAACCATTCAGCCAGGTGTCACCCATTTTGTATTTGTATTTTTTATTATGATTCCAGAAGTGTAGTGCTTTGCATTTGTCAGCACTGAACTTCATCCTATTAGCTCCAGCCCATCTTTCCAATCTGTTGAGATGCTTCTGAATTGCAATCCCATCCTTTGGTTTTCAAAGGCCTTTCGAGTTTCATGTTGTCTGCAAACTTGCTTCTATGCCAGCATCAAACCAATTCATAAACGCACTGAACAGCACTGGGATCAGGATCCCCCCTGTGGGACTCCACTCAAAGTCTCCTGCCATTCTGAAATGGATCCATTTTTTTAATAATTAACCTTTGTTTGCAGCTATTGAGCCAGCTGCCTATTCACCTGATAGTAGTTTTGTCTGGCCCACATTTTTCCAGTTTGCTCTAGGAGAAGGTCACGTGGGTTCTTTTCAAAAGCTCTGCAGGAAGGTAATACACCATATACACTTAATCTGCTCATGTAGTTACTTTGTCAAAGAAGGAGATCCAGTTTGTGTGGCAGGATTTATTCTTAGCAAATGCAACTGGCTGCTTGTGATCAGCCTTTCCTCCTCCAGATGCTTGCAAAGGGGTTTCCTCCAGTTATGCTTCTGTACTTCCCAAGTCCTGAGGTGAGGCTAACCAGCCTGTAGTTCCCCAGAGCCTCTCTGCTGCTTTTAAAAGAGAGGGGCACTGGGTTGCCCTTTTTTAAGTCCTCTGGTATCTGACTCATCTCCCACTACTTCATGAACGTTATTGCCAAGGGCTCTGGGACCTCCTCTGAAAGTTGTTTCAGTACTCTGGGAAGGAGTTCATTTAGCCCTGCTGACTTTAATTCATTCATACCCATCAAAAGTTCTGTGTCTTTTGTTATATCATCCCTCAGCTTGCCCCCTTCCTTATCCCAAATGATCTTTATTAGGTGAGGCAAAGTAGCTGTTGAGTATCTCCACCTTCCTTGCATCTTCTGCTAAGAGTTCCCCCTGGCTAGTTAACAGTGGACCCACAGTGTCCTTGGTCCTCCTTTTCTGACCAACATACTTATAGAACTTCTTGTTGTTGTCCTTAACCTCTTTTGCCAGGTGCAGTTCATTCTTTACCTTGGCCTTCATGGTTTTGTCCCTGCAGGTTCTTGCTATTTCCTGGTAAGCTTTCTTGGTGACCTGCCCATTTATCCATTGCCTGTATATTTTCCTCTTGAATTTGAGGTACCCTAGATGCTTCTTGTGCAGCCACATTGGTCTCTTGCTATTCTTCTTGTGTTTCCATCATTTTAGAACAGTCTCTTGTCAAGCTTCCAATGCTGTGCCCTTATCCTTCAGTCTATCTTCCCATGGCATCATGCCAATTAATTCCTTGAGTCAGCTGAAATCCACCTTTTTGAAATATAGTCTTAGTTTTGTCAACCTCATGTTATCCCCATCATTTGGTATTCTATCATACTGTGATTGCTTCCTCTCAAGTTTCCCATCACCTCCACATTCTCCACAAGGTCTACCCTATTGGCAAGGGAAAGATCCAAGATAGATGATACCCTAGTCATATCATCACCTTCTGGAACAGGAAGTTGTTATCCACACAAGTTAGGAACTGGCTGAACATTTTATTTTTGGCTATATTGTTCTTCCAGAGGATGCCCAGAAAATAGAAGTTCCCCATCAGTACCATTTGACAGCTTTTGGATAATTTTGTTACCTCCTTGAAGAATACCTCATCTACTTCCTTTTTCCTAACTTAATGGGCTAAACAAATCTCCAGCATGAATATTTCACCGTTTATCTTTACCAAAATGTATTCTGATCTGCCATTTTATTTCTCCTGAACCAAGGAAAAAGTGTATGCATTTCTGATATACAAGATGACAGTATTCCCTTTCCTCCCAAAACAGAGTGTAACCCTGTATGTTGATGATCCAGTCATAACAACTGCCCCACCAGGTCTCTATGACACCAAGAGATCATAGGTCCTTTCCCAGGCTATGGCTTCCAGCTCATCCTGTTTATCCCCTTTATTTCTTGCACTGCTATACATAAATCAGATATTTTGCATTCCCACCTCTGTGGTTTCCTTTTGCACCAATTATTGCTGTTCTGTCACACTCTTGCCTTTTTCTGGAATTGAACTAGTAACTCGGGTCATTCAGCCTCTGGATTGTTTGCTCTGCTGCTGAAGTATTTTGTTCCCCATCTGCTGGGAACCTAGTTTCACAGGGTGCTCTCTCATAATAGAATAACATCACCTGACAGCAGCTAAAAGCCATAGTAAGCGTGATCCTTGCTTAGAATTAAAAGAATAAATACATTAATTGAATCCAAGTCTCTCATGGTTAAAAAAGAGCTGAGTTTCTCTCAACTGAAAACAAATACCAGGACAAAAGTAAACTTCAAATTCTGATACTTTTCTATAGAGAATATGGAGTAATTGAACTGAATCAGCTGAAATCAGTGTGCCTGCACTGATTTCAGTGCCCTTGTTTCTGATTTTCATCAGCCTAAGTTTTAATTCTCAGTGTAGCAGATATTTTTATCATGTGTGTCATCTTAGGGTTCTGGCAGATGTTACAATTGTTGCACTTTATATGTGAATTTTCTGTGACAAAATGTGAATGGCCACATGCCCACACTGTTTATCATGCTATAAAAATGGTGACTCTAGTGCATAAATGGGGACTCCACCCCAGAGAAGTTTGACACAGCAACTTCTTTAGGGCTCAAAAGGGTTTTGCAACTAATTTAACATATAGACAAGTCTCTCTAATGCCAAATATCCCACACTGCTCTGCTCTCCCTCCTTCCATCCCACCGGAGTAGTAGAAGGGGGCTAGCTGGCTCCCTGATAGCCTATCTAGTGAGAGTTGCAAGAGAGCCCTGTAGGGATTGGCTTGAAGTTGGCTGCAGTAGCATCATGGGCTGCTCAAGCGCCAAAAACCCTTGCTATCCCAGGCAGTTTGCAAGTAGCATGGTCACTGTTGCTACCTGGCAGCAAGGGGGACACACCTGTCTGCAAGTGGGGAACATTACAGGGCTGCTGGTGCTTGAGTACTAGCAGCCACTAAAGCACCAGTAGCCTTTTCAAGTTCCCTTCTTGCAGACAGTCCCGGACATGAGATCACCCAGTCACCCCTTGCTTCCATGGATGGCTTTGCAGACACCCCTATTAGTGGTTGCCATGGTGGCAACAGCTAATGAGGCATGTCTGTCAGTGAGCTTGTTCTACACACTGACAGGCTCCCCTGGGGTGGACAGAGCTAAACAACAGCTCCTTATCACACTCGAGCTGTAAATTGTGCCTTTGGAGCTACTTTGTTGTGTGGTCCAGCTGGCCAGGGCTCTGCACATATGCACAACCCAAAGTAATCTATTTTGTGCAGCTCTGCAAGCTTTGTAGGACTACAAAAATAGAGTTCAGCAGCAGCCTCAGTGACTTCTAACAGGCAATTCATATATTTAAAGTTAGGTACACGATCAAGTATATTGCGGAATTAAAAGGATCAGGCCTGGAATCATCTCAGCTGGGATAATAGTGAAGAAGAAAGAAACCAAATAAGAGGGTTAATGGATCTAAAAAGTGACTGAGGCACTTCATCGCATATCATATCAAATCCAATGGGCCTTTAAATCCAATATGCTGCCAAATGGCTACTGCACTCATCAACTTTTCTAACTTCATTTTTTCATAATACAAAGCCACCTCAAAAAATGCTAGTTTTTAAACACAAGGCCATTTCACCCGTGTACTTTATTTTTTTTAATGAAATTGAGGCAGGCCCTGCATTATATATATCTTTTTCCTCAGTATAAAGAGACTTACTTTATACTCATTGTCTCTGTCTTCACTTCAAAAGGACATACAGTTTTTTTTTCTATTGCTTACAGACATCTGCCCGCATTTTTGTAATGTACATAAATATGACTATCATTTATTCAAAAGGTTACTTGGAATTTTTCAAGTAGAACCACATTTATAGCATGTCCCTTCAACCTTCCTATTAAATCCTATTAAGCTGACTATGATACAGCCTGGAAGGTATTTTCAATTTCAAATTCTATCTGTGTGTTAAAACCATATTGTGATTGTGCAATTCACTATGACTAAAACCAAACAATAATTGTGATTAGGTCAATGATACATAGACTTTACTTATTGTCATTCTAAACTTGTCAAGCCTACTAAATTCCAGTAAGTCATGCATCAGCTAAAATATACATGGCTTTTTTAGCACAGAGGTAGCATACTACATTTGACAGTTTTCAAAAAATGAAACTGCACAGATGGTCTACAAAATCAGTCTTGATTCCAATTAAATAGATAGGAATTTACCATTGATTACAATATGACTCAAAAAAGTGATACCTTCTGTTGTTCCTACATGCCTCTTGTTGGCATCAATGAAAAATATAAATCTGGAAAAGGTTTAGGGGAAAAAAAAGCAAAAAGGGGGAGAGATGTGGCATGATCAGCATATAGACAACAAGATACTGCATCTGAGTAATAGTGTAAATATACATAAGCCTAATATATATTTTTCCCAGAGCCTAAAGGACAAAATATAAATTAGGTTTGCAAATATTTTATGAAAAGATATACACAGTTTGTGGCATTTAAATCTCAAATTATAGTTCAATCTCACCAAATATTGTCTCCTTAAATATAAAGTGTTACATGATTAGCTGAATACAAGCTAAAATAATGTTTTTTCATATTTTCCCTCTCCCAGTACAATAGATGTTACCTTTTTGGTTTGTTTGTTTTTTAACTTCCTCGGTGTAATGTAAAATAAAGCTAAAAAGTACTTTCCCTCTTCCACCCACACACTCCCCCTTTCCTTCCTCCCTTCCAAAAAATATATTGAATTGTTTTCTTTATCTTCCAACATCCTGATGTATTCATTCCTTTCTGTGCTCAGGAACATTACTGAGCCATCTGCCTATTTTTCTAGGAAGACGCTGGCTGTTCTCAGCTCTGAGAAAAAAATGCCTCACAGGTGCCCCTCAGGTCATGCAGCACCACATACAAGAAGCATGCTATCTGAGAACGTGCCTGGTCATATGTTATTTTCTATGTACAGTCATTCGTTGTTTCTCTTCTCCAAAAGTTTACATACAGGGGAGAGAGAGGAAGACATGTCTGGAAGAGATTGTTTAATTAGAAAAAGTGTTGTATAAATAGCTTGACTTCAAAGGATGCTCAGACAGGATGGTAATTAATATTGTAAAGTTCTGTATTTTTCAGAGGTGCTGGCTCTGGCCAGTATTCCCACCATCCCCAATAACTTAAAAAACAACCAACGCAACAAAGGATTCTGACTACAAGTTCACCATTTGAAAATAATGGAGCTCTGCAGGGGCCTGGGGTAGACATCTATCCTTAATCATAGCCACAAAAATAATAAAACAAGAGAAGCAAGCCCTCTGAGAGTCCATGACTTTTCACTTGAATTGCTACTTCCATAAGCTGTTTTTTAGTCGTATATACTTAACGTTCTTTTTGATTTTGAACTGAATAGATACTTCAAGGAGCTCAATTTATTTTGCTTATCCAAGGTTAAGGAGCAGCTAATTCACAATCTGTAAACATCTACACAGGGAACAGAAATCAGCAGAGGATTTGTAATGAGTCTGATTAGTGTTGGTTTTTATATTATATACAATTATGGACAATGCCTTTCCCTCCAGTGAAGCCACCTGGGGTTGAGGATTGTAGCTATTTTTTGAAATTTACTCTGGTATCATTTGGACTTATGATGTAAAACATCCTCTGAAGACCTATAGCAACCATGCCCTGGCAGCAAAACACTTTCTAATTGTTATTGTCACTATAATTATTTGATTGCTGTTATAATTATTTATGTTCTCATTTTGAGAGAATTTAGAGATAAGCAACATCCCTTACCCCACCCCACAGTATCTCAGAATCTGTTTTCAGTGCAATTTCAATGACTGGCATTTTAAGAAAGCAACAGAAGTGAATAGGCTCTGATGGAACATGTCTTTCCCATCAGGATATTTCTCTAACACATTTGAAAGCACCACTGAGAAGATTATTGCCATCAAAAGCCAGACTCTCTCTTTTCTCTGAAAGTCTCAGCTTGCTTGTGGACCAGAATTGAAAG